AAAAAAAAAAAAAAAAAAAAAAAAAAACTCCGAGAATTTGAGTCATTTTTGTAAAAGAAACATATTTTTTTAACTCATTTGCCCAAATAATTTTAGTGAAATGTGAAATTTTTATTTAAAAAAAAAATTCATGAACAAGAGAAGCTTAATTATTGTCCAAGAATACGCATAGATGAAGCTTACTTGCGATGTAGGCTCTCTAAATCCTCCAGAGACAACATTTGACTGAGGATTAATTGGATTAATTGGTCTGTGTAGTGTTGTTGAGTGGATTAGTTGAGTTTGTTGCGGTTGAATCGGAGAAAAAGACGTGATCAAGTCTGGTGGAAAACCGAGCGACGATGACAGACCAGCTCTAGTCTGTAGGATCTGTTTGCGAAATTAAATTTAGTTTTTTATACAAAACTAACTTGACAGGCCTTTTTTTTTCTGCACTTTTTTTTTTATGGAACCCAAATAGCTTACATCTTTAGCAAGAAACCCTTCCATATCGAAATCGAGACTCGGGTTCACCGTTGCAAGCTTCATCGACAAGAACTGTTATTATAAAGAAATGCACTCATATCAATTTCTTGTAAAAATAATGCAAAGTGAACATTGAGAAAAAGTAAATAACTAAAATAAATAAATAAAGGATTCATAATCACCTCAACTTGCCGCTGAAGGGATTGCACATAATTGATGATCTCATCCAGCATTACAGCTTTTCCAGTGACCTGCTAGTTACTAGGAATAAAACATGTCAAAGTAATATATCTATATCCATAAAATTAATTAACAATATATATAAATATGTGTATACAATATGAAATAATATTAACAATCATCGGTTAAACCTTGCTGCAACCCGGGACAAGATCCTGCAGAAATTTCATCCTCTCACTAATCTTCTCCCTTCTTATCTACATTATAGAAAAGGGCAAATAAAAATCCTTTAACTTTTGCAAGAAAAAAAGATACAAAATGTAATTCCTTACTTAATTGCCCACAAGTGTAACAAGCAAAAACTAAAATTAAAAATCTACCCTTTCGGCAAGACTGTGGCTATTTGTAGCCTGGCCTCTTCGTGCTCGAACATGTATGTACTCTTCCTTGGGCGGGTCGGGCCCTTTTTCACTCGGGTCCCCATTTTCATTACCCTTTCCTCTAGTTTCGTTCGTGTCCTTCTCAGTCTCGATAGCCGGTTGTGCAGCTTCGTTATTTTCGCCATTCACAATTTTCTAACATGCGAATTAAAAGGCAACAAGAAATCAGTAAGAAAATAACAAAAAAAAAAGACTAAGGGATAAATAGAATAAAATTCAGAATAATTGAAGTTCTTTCTACCTGCTCAGCTCTTTTCCTCTTCTTCAATCCAACCCCTTTACCCGAAAGCTCTTCTCGACCGCTAAATTCGGCCTCTTCATGTCGAGTACCCAACACATCAACCCGGTTTTTGACTTCATCATCATGGGACCGCCTAAAATTCTCGATTTTCTTCTCGTTCTTGAACGGGCTTCGGCTTCCACCGTTCCCATCTCCCACTAAAGCCTCGTTTGGACGTTGCATTAGTCCCGGACGAGAATCTGGTTTCATATGACCAAGATTGGTGAATGGATTGACAATCTGACTCAAGTTCCCTCCACTGAAGCAAGAAAACCTTGCGGCACGCTCGATAAAGCCCGAATCTTCCGGAAAGTTGGGCAAACCAGGAGGAACAACCATGCTCGGAAAAGTCGTCGGCATAAACATATTTTGTCTCAAGGCCACGTTCGGCATCCAATTGGCACCGGCTCGTGAAGGGCTCGTCGACGTGCTGGCATCGTTTTGTGTGTTCACATCGCTGTAGCCTAGAACCTGCCCGTTTATCGGTGGGTCCCACACGGGAGAGCAGAAAGAGCCCACCAAAGAGGTGGAAGGACAGGATGAAAGTATCCCAATCGATGAGTTTGTTGTGGTGTTTGGAGTGAGATGCCAATCAGAAGAAATATTGGGTGCATGATAATTTGCAGTCTCCTCAGTCTCTTTAGGTAGCTCAACAGTAGGATCATTTACAGGCATCTCCATTTGTTTCTTAATAACAAATTTTGAGATCTAATTAGCCCCTCAAAGTAGTTTTTTTTTTTTTTTTCCCTTAAAATCC